CAGCTCCTTGAACTCTTATGAGGGCAGTTAAACAAGCACAGCTAATTTATCTTCTATCATTTATTGTCTTCTCTTGCTGTCATGCCTCCTTTTCACGTCCTCTCCTGTCCAAACTCTCAATATTCAAGTCGCTCTTGACATGAAGGTTTCCTATTTTTGCTACCTCTCCCTAAAGCTCCAAACTGACTTTATCTTGTAATGCTCTATTCTGGTTAACCTGAACATTGCTACTGAGGATACACCTCCACTGTAACTAATGAAATTACTGTTTTCCTCCTTCATTGTATCTACAAACATTGCTTACGTAGTTCACCAATACCACACACATTGCAAATACTTGTGTTGTCCAAAATGCTGCACAGGTCTTCCTCCTGAGTGGAAGAAGTGAAGACAAAACTCAGGAACAAGTGCAGATGATTCCTGCCAATGGACAATACTTGTATATGCATTTAATCTACTTTGCACCCTTAAACCTCATCCATCCAGCTTTCTTAAACTTGTTCCTAAAATTAAGGAAACTCTGACAAAGTTAATTGCAATAAAGACGTGCGATCTCTCAACTGCTGCTGCGTGGAGAAGATTCAATCTCCCCTGTCAGAGAGCCCCTGAACATGACGCAGCACCGTTAGCAACGCACGTGGAGGCATGACAGGGACCCAAAATAATCCCCCATAACTGGCTAAGGAAACATCAACCATGTGTTCTGCTGCTATTATCTTTAAATGGTAAAAGTAAAATGGGAAAAATAAGCAAGTTGGAAATCTTTTCTGCAAAGAGATTTTTCTCTACAGCAGTATTATTTTAAAAGAAAAGGCTCAAAGAGACTCCTAATTAATGAGAAAAATCCTCTTTCCTTCACTCCTTAAATCTTGTACAACATTACCTCAGTTTCCCTTAGCATTTCCTCTCAGAAGTGATAAATGTGGAATGCTCCAAGCATGTTTAGGTTTCCCTCCAAAACTAATTGCCTATGATCTCTGTTCTGTCTGCCCCACATAAACCTCTGTCTTGAGTTCTACTTTCTGCACCTGAGAAGGAAGAATGAATACTCCTTGGGGAGGGAAGACCTATGTTTATTTTGTGACCACCAGTAAAATCTTCGTTAGGCAAGTATTTTTTTCCTGCGTGTTCATGTAGCAATATAATACCCCTATAAATAACTATTTGGTGGAGGTTTGAAGCAGCTAAATCCTCTAACTACTTTCTGGACTCATCACTTATATGCTGCAACATTTACTCGCTACACAAATCTAAGCTTTCTTCCACTAACAAAATTATTCAATCATAACAAATAAAGGAAATAAAATTTATGTCCTCTTAATACATCAGCGTTGCATTAGTCACTAAGTCTCCAGATAAGTCAGAAGTCTGCAGTCCTGATATTCAGCATAGTGGAAAACCAACAGAAGGGCCCCGTAGCTATGCTCACAATCTGTCCTCGCAAAACATCTGACAGCTGCAACACTAACAAAATTAACAGTGGATGAATTAGTACCAGACGGTAAACAGTTGCTATAGAAAGACTCATCCATTTCTTTTCTTCTTATCCCCTTCTTCAACCTGGCTACCCCACCACTTGATAAAATTAACACTCAGTATCATTTTTTTCTTTTGTTATTTAATAAAAAAAGCACCACAAATACCCTTTCATACACAAGATGAACTTCACGCCGTGATCTCCCTAGACTCTTAAAGATGCAGTTCGCAGTTGAAAGGGCTGTGTCCCAGTTCTCCTATTGCCCGGTTCAAATGTGAGCATTCAAACTCATACTGCAACATCTGAAGCAGGTGGAGTCCTGTAGTCCTACAAGGACGTCAAAAAAAGCAACTCTGGACATCAAATTCAGAAGTGTTATTCCAGCACTGAACTGGAAATGAGGGCAAGTGTCAGGTGTTAAATTATACAGCTACTTTTACTGTACCTTGTATCAACTGATCCAACATGAAAATACGTCACCGTTCAGCTAGGAGATTAAAAAGCAAAAAACCCACCCAAACTCATCAATACCAATTTAATAAAAAATGGTATGTGTTTTTATGTATATAATCCAGTTGTGTCATCAAGGAAAAGTAACCATTTTTGAAGGATCAGCCTTCTGCTACAAATGAGAAAAACGTTATTAGGAAATTGCTGTGTTACTTTTTGGCTAGATAGCATTCTGTAACAGTCCTGACAAGTAGATAGATCTAAGTATATAAAGAAGAGCAGCATACCATCACCTGCTGACAGCTTCAGCATTTCAACCATTCACGTTTGTAAGAAGCCTAGTAGGATTTGGAAGTGACTATACTAAGTATTATGTAAAATGTCTGTATTCTGCATGGCCACTCAGTGTGCATGTCCCTGTTTTGCAAGCTACAAGCGACTACTCAGAATAATGCTATGGTAAAGACTGAGACTGGGACGATAATTCCTGGGTCACTGAGTCCAACTCTTGATATCATAGACAAGTATATCCTATACTATCTGCACAATATGCTTCATCAATTCTTTACTGAAGAAAGGTATGGTCATATACTGTAGACTGGGACTGAGACAGCAAGATCTGTGATGGGGAAAGAATAAATTAAAAAAACCAAAACAAAACAGGGTTGCAACTGGAGTCAGCAAACTTTTATGTAAAATATATAAAACTAAAATATTATTATTAGAAGTCCTTCCCCATGCCCTTCTCCCTAGTAGTTAACTGACTTGTCTTTCTCTGACATCTCTCTCTGAAATACAAACTTTTTTTTTCCTGAGATTTAATCCTTTTACACATTCATCCTGTCATCTCTTTAGGAAAGACGCTGTTTGAACTTTACTCGTTAAGTAAAAAGAGTTTGTGCTAATGCATGTGAAGACCACAAGTAGTGCATGCCTTTAAGATTACTTTATCAACACGACTTCTTGGCAGGATTCAAAAAGCAGTTTACAGAGAATGCTGCAGCAACACAGACTTCTTCCTAGCTGGGACTCCTGCAGTCTTGCCGTGCTCTCTCTTTCATTTCAGCTTTGCTAAAGAGTAGAAAGCCAACTTGAAAAGATGAAAAAAGGCTTTGTAAAAATGGCATGACAGAACACTGCATTCATACTGTTTAAGTTAATATATAGTAAATGTATTCAGTTTACAAAGATAAAGATTTCCCATTCTCCTACTTCCACCACTGCAGACTGCTGAATTTGCTGAAATTCACCCTTTCTTCTTTCTTGCTTACTCAACCATCAACAACAAAATAATCAAAAGACCAAAACCTTGTGTCATACCTGTGCAGCCACTTACTGCCCCAGAACACCTAATTTCTTGCTAACAGGATGTGGCTGACACTTTTGTTATCGATACTAGAGCTAGTAAAGGATTTATATCTAAGTTGTGTTCTGCGAGGCTAACAAAAGTAAGAAGTAGGGATGAAGGCAAGAGATGGCAGAAGCTGACAGATACACATCTAAACAGCAGAAGTCTGCTGCCCACATTAAAATATGCTTCAATTTTAGCTGATAGTTAAAGTATATGCCCATCTTAAAGATCAAAAAACAACAACAAAAAAAAGAACAACTAGACATCTGAGATTTAATACCGATATATTGTGTAGCCATCACTTGATGACTATACAAATACAAACACACACACACACAGAGCAGATACAAAATAGCTATCACTTCAAAAATATCATGCCATCTGAAGTGCACTGCATCGTGATTATTTTACAATGAGTTTGCTAAGGTGGGCTTCAAAACATGTTTTACAACATCTCTTCCCTTCTATCCTTAACACTTACAGAGAAAAAACTATTATTCCTATTTAATCATTTCCCTTCCATTTCTCGACCAAATTTTGTTCTTACAATCACATTTTTGAGTCAGCCCAAAACAGGAGGAGGAGTGAGGAAACAACATATTTTTCCTCCCTATATATTCTTCCTCCAGGTAGGTAATGCTAAACAGCGAATACTGCTCTTTCACTCAAAATCACTGTAAGGACACTGTATACACATTTCCTTTTACAGCTCAAAAGAATCAAAAGGAAGTCAAGTACAATAGAAAAAATAAGTTTCTGAAGTTGAATTTTGAGGATAAAGAAAAAGTAATAACTGATTTCTTTATCAGAATTAAATTGTCTCTGCTCTAGTCTAAAAGCTTTTGTTTCTTTATACCATATTTTAAACGCATGCTTGCCCAGTGAGGTTGCCCTGGAACGCCATGGTAGGAGGCTGCAACTTTCCTCCTAACTCTTGCTGCAGAACGCTTAAATTCCACACAATAATATTGCAGCAAATAAATTAACATGCATTATTAATCATTCTAAATGTGAGATTCAGCTATATCATCCTCCACTTACTCTGCTTCTACAGCTTCTTTTACTTGTAAAGCCAATATTTAAATATTTGTATCAACTTTTAAATAGGTCTTCTACAGGTGTTTTTAAAAGCAAGATTGTTTGCATCATAATTGAAGGCACCTACAAAGCACCACTGTAAACGTTTTCCACATCAAGAAACAAGAATTTCTTTAGGGCTTGTAAGCTCTTTGCAATCTGGAGCCATATGTCATTTCGGTACCACTTCAAGTCCTCACTTGTTAGACCCTTTTTAATTTTGAATTGATGCCAAGGGCAGACATCATAGCAGAGGTTTCCCATTTGAAAGCTTACCCTTTTTTTCAAAATACCTACATACACTTTGCAGTATTAGCACAGCTTTATGCTAACATACAACAAAACCTGAAAGGTAATTCTATTTTCTTCAGTTTTACCATGCCCTCTTCTGTCTCCTCACACTCAGTTCAAAGCCCACTGAAAGTCAGTGGTTATGGACTGAGCCATACGTTTCATGAAGAGCAGGTACAACCCTGGAGCACAACAAGGAGCCCTGCAACTTTAAAACATGAAGACGACATTTTCTGGACTGCCCGGTAAAAATCTAATGGCACCTTAGAAAGGACAAGAGACATGGCACACTTAGAAACATATTACTGGAAATTAAAAATAAACAAACAAGTAAAAGATACTGACAATACGTACTTTTGACAAAGCTGGCTGAACAGCACTTTGGGAGAAAGAGGACCTTTTCCAGCCTCCCTCATGCTGTGAAGGAACAAGAACATCGCTGAAGTCAAGGGTCCTGGGCTGGAGAGATTTACCACCAAAGGATCCTTCAAAGAAAAGGTAAATTGCACATCAGATTTCAAAGTTAATGACACACAAGACTTATTTCAAGTTAGTACATTTGTGTCAAAGAGCAATGTCGCTTTCAGTCTTAGAGTGTTTTGCTTTTTTTTTTTAAATGTTGATGTCACTACATGATTGAAATAGTTGAAGAGAAAGCTTATTATTTAAGCAGTAATAGTTGCAAAACCAAATAATTCTTGTTGAGCAAATTGGGTGGTAACCAACAGCTTTGGAAACGGGCATGTCGATGAGCCAGTCTGATTCTCACAACAACAGACTACCTCCTTTATTACCTGCTTTACTCTTACTCCCACGTGCACTGAAATTCAGTTGGAGAGACAACGCGGGCAACCTCCTCCATGGGCCAGCATAAGATGGAGCTCAGTGGCAGTCTGTCTACTCAACCTTAGGGAAGGGGTGGCCAGCTTCTCTGACCTGTGAGCCGCACACCGAAATTTCTACACATCCGACAGCCACAGAAGCACACCCTGTTCCTCCGGGAACCAGGCGCCCAGAAGGTACCGGCAGTGGTTCGCAGCAGGGGCTGACAGCAGACCCCACAGGTCTGCCGTGTTGGCGGGGCACAGGCACGGGGTGCATCCCGCACAGCCCCTCCTGGTGTGAGATTCACCCCAGCCAGCAGGTCCCCAGGCTGCAAGGAGCCGGCCAGCAGTCACCCGAGCCAGTCTTAGAGCAGGAGACACTCCTGCACTGCTTACATGCCACGTGCGTCTCAACGGCCACAGATCGCCAGCTCTCCCTAACACGCTCCCAGGTTCATACATGACTGCAATGCTTCCTACTAGCTGGCCTGACTCTCACAAAAACAGATTACAACTGCCGGACAAACAATTAGAGAGGCTGCCTCATCCAGAAAGCAGATCCACACGAAACATAGGCGCTACGGATACACGCAAAAATATAAAGTATTTGCATTACATACACTATCAAAAGGTGGAAAAACGCCCTTTACCAAGCAGGAAGCTGGGAGTTTCTACATTACTATTAGTTAGACTGCTGCAGCCCTCTAATTCTGCATTGACATACAAAGACCAGAAAACAGTCTTTGCTCCGAAGATCTTATTTACATTGTAAGCGTTGTCATGAAACAAAAAATAAATCTTTCAACCTTATGGCTGTGCAAGTGTCGCATCAAGCATAAGCCAACGTACCACTGGCTTTCTAAGCCTCCGGACACAAACAAGCTCCAGACCTCCGTTGTGACTCAGGATAACTTAGTGAAACATGTTGCTGCTCAGAACTGCCACTGGAGGAAATATAGACAGCAATGCAGTGAATTTCACACTGTTCTTGCCTGGAGAAGCTATGAACATCACCGACAGCAACATACAGAAATCTTCATCATTTCAGAGGTATCTGAAAGAGAATCCCACCCCTCAACCCTCACTGCCACCAGAAAGCTCCCAGCGAACAGCGGAAAAAGAAAAGAAGTCTCTAAGACATGACTGGGAACAGCAGCATATTCTTTGGTAATAACCACAGGAGTCTCTTTCCCATATGCCTGCAATGAGCTCGAGGACAAGAAATTTGGTCCTCACTGAAATTTTGCTTCTCTCAGTTTAATCCTCTGGCACGTGAAGCATGTAATAAATTTTACAAGCCTTATCAATGAAGGACTGGGACAGACTGGAATAAAATATTTCAGGAACACTTTCTAGAGCCAAATACACTATTTCCTGTATTATATATGCATACTGAAGAAATGAAATAAGAAACAAAAATAAGCCAGTCACTCTTTCTTAAGGTCAGGCATTATTTGCTACTTCAATGTCACAAAATGTCAAAGGAAGTGATTATTCCTCCTCCTCCTCCAGGGCTGAATAATTAGTTTGTAAAAGGAGTGAGTTCACAGATATCATAAACCGGCTAAACAATTAAAAGGCAAAAGAAACGGGAGAGTAAGAGTGTGTCTTTAATGGAGATGCGCTTTCCCATCCTCCAGCTTCTTCCCACATTTCCCCAAATCTGTATTTCTCACTGCATACTTACCAATTGGGAGTCTGAAGTATGACAGATTTTTAACTTTGTTCCTTTCTCCTTCATCTCATACATCAGTTCATTTAGTATATGAGTCTGTGCCAAGTTCTTAAAGAAAAAAAAAATAAACCCAAGAAACACATGCTGATCTTTCAACTATACATTTTTCTTTAGTTATACATTCTAGTTTCAAGGATAGACAAAATCAGATATATTTCATAATGTACAACTGAGATTTAAACCAGATCACTAGAAAAAGCAGGTATCACCCTTATAAAAGCCAAGATCATTGATCTCAGGCTGTTTCTAAAATTGTATCTACTGCTGTTTCTGTAATTCCAAAATAGTTTCCTAGTAATAACTTTGTTATTTTTGTTGAACAAAGATTTGTTCTTTTTTTTTTTTATGGTGACGACATTAGTATCAGAAATCATTTGTTTCTTTTAAACTCTGCAGTCCCCCTCATTGTGCCCCAAGAAGCACAAGGGCTCTGGCACACTGAAAAGCATTACCTCTCTGAATTTAAGAGAGAAACCAACTCAACATATCTCAGCTTTTTTTCTTTATTTTTCGTTAACTTTGACTGCAGATCACTTAGGTTTCTGCCATGCCCTAAGTACGGACAGAGAATGATTAGCAGTAGTTCTACTCCTTACAAATTTACTATTTGTTTGCTGAGTTTTGTAATCACCACTATAAACACAAGGTAAAGAGTGCCAGTTCAGAACACCTTTGTAGCAGTTTTCTCTCATTTTCTCACTCCTGCCTGCAGACATACAGATGTCTCTGCTCAACTGACAAGCAATAGGATGTTCCAATATAAAACCCACTAAGGCTGCCGCTTTTCTGAGGATGTTGGATTAGTTGTACACTCAACATCAATAAAAGTATATTAGTATAGCTCATTCCTCTTATTCTGGTCAGAAAAAAAAACCATAATCAATAAAAGTACTTTTATAACTGTATCCATTGCAGGGGCTTAAAATCATCGCAACGCACTGTGCAGACATTTACACTATGCATAAAGTACCACTTTTCACACCCACCAGTGTGGTAAATACTGTGCATTACTCATGACTGCCTAATGCCGAACTACAAATAAAACCATATGTTCGAGTACAACCCACACACATATGCAGTTTGTAAAACACTTGACATTTTCATTTGTCTCATTACTGTGAAAAATGCTACTGATCCAAGAATTCTTTTTTGTTGTAACAGGAAATATTGCTTGGATAGTAAGAAGCGAAAAGAATTTGGAAAGGACCTTCAGAAAGCAGAATGAAGGCTGGTAACAGTCAACCTTTTCTGAAGTCCACAGTTTATACAGATTAAGTATTTCTGAAACCTATGAAGAGAAAGCTGTATGGTCTTTCCATCTTACCTGCATGACAGCATTAAAAAAGCACGTATTTCCTAAATTATTTATTCCTTTGACTGGAACAGATGCACCATTACCAGAACTTCTTCCTTTCAGTATTTCACTTGTTTCACTGTTTTCTTCACGGAGTCGTATGATTTTTGATGAACCTATAATTAAACTATAGATTAACATTACTATGTAATTGCAGAGTTTAATCAATTCGGTCCTTCCGTGGATTACGGTTATCATTTTTAACATACAGGAAAAGATACCTTGATGGTTAAAGCAGTTAAAGACTGCTTTACATAGTCTTTAAAAAAAAAAAAGAGACATGAGCAGTTAAAACCCTGGAAAAAAAATCCCCCCCAACAACTACATATATCCAACAAAATCTTCCACAACAATCACATTGTCCCATAAGACTGTAACTTCTTCAATTTCCCAAGCAATAAATAAAGTAAAACTGGCTCCGTTAGTTTATTAACAATAGGCGGTTTAGACATACATTCATTAGACACACTAGAAACACCACACAAAGGCTGCTTTTTGGTGCATCTGAAGAGAGGTAACCAAAAGTTACCACCTGAATGCTGCAAGTCTTTATCAATTATCGCACTTTGCTTGAATTGCCTTATACAACTCGGTCAACGGCCGAATCGGAGTTGTTATCAGTTTCCCCAAATGCTACATTTGCTTCTCCACCCACCTCCCTTTGTCACAGCCTGGGGAATTGCTAACAGAACCCAAATGCATACAGTGCTGTTGTTTTAGTTTTATCCAACAAAAATTTGATAAAACTGCAATGGAATATGCTACCAGTATAATGTCCACGTATTTCCTGCCTTCCCTTATTATTTAAATAGATGAGAGGCAGCAAAGTTAGACAGTCATTAACTTGTAGCCTAGAGGTAATCGAAAGACTTGAGATAACAATATTTAGCCTCGAATTCTACTAGCAACTTTCATATTGTCATGGTTGCAGGACTAAATATGAACATTACTGACATCTGCAGTATCTTAAATATTGATTAACAATGCATGTCAATGTAAACGAGTTATGGACTTAATAGATGCCAAGAACTGTGATGCTGCAATCTCTGTCTTGACATATGAATTCATATATTTGTTCTAATGAGTTTCACATTGAAGTCTCATTAAAGTGTTCTTGAGAAATAACTAACAGACCTATTTACGTTAATGAGATGCTCATGCCAAAAGGTTCTTCTATGTATACTCCTAGGTAGTTTCATGCTTAGAAGATGAAAAAAAATAATTAAATAAAAAAGAAGTCATTAAAATATCTATTGTATCTGGCAACAAGCTTCTGACACAGTCTGTCTGCACCCTATAGTGCCATCAAGGCATACTTATTTTTCCAAATTGTTTCCAAGTTTGTCAAAACGCAGTTAGAGGTGCTTTGCTGTTTAAAAGCATTTTTTAAATGTTCTTGGTAATACTGCTTACACAGCTTTAAAATATTCTCCTTTCCACTGGCGTGGAAAATTAAGACGGTACAAGGGCAAAGTAAGAGATCAAGTTCTCCTTGAAAAAGCAGACAACGCAATGAATGACAAATAGCTTGGGAGCTGCTCACGCCCTGAAACAGTCACAGTTTTATGGCCTATGCGCAGCAACACCTTTTCATTGACATGCTTACAAGGGGCACACTACAGTGTCTGAGACTCGTCCACCCACGCAGAGCTCCAAAAGAATTGTAGGAGGAGAACGGGAGCTCCAAGTGTCTGCAACTCAAAGGCGCTGCTCGTGCTCGGAAATTTAATAATGTAAGTGGAGACTTCTTCCCCTCAGAAAGTATGCTATACAGAGAAGTGCTGGGGAGAAGAGATGGTTAAAAAGAAAAAAAAAGAAAAAAAAAAGCCAAAATTGTGTAAATAATTTGTGTATTAGTATACCACAGTTGTTGCATTTATCCATCGGCATTCAAAAACATCTGGGACAGCATCTTAAAGTAAACAATGTTCACAAGGCCATCTGGACAAAACTGCAGGCAAAAATTAAAGCATAAGCATATGGAAAAGCAGATTTTTCTCTTCCCTTTAGCAGTACAGGATGACAAATGTCAAACCTAGATCTGTCCACGCTTCACTGTGCTATGCTTTGCAGCACCACCTGGCTCTCCTTACACAGCCACCAAATATGGACAGCACTGCCACAGCGGACCATATCTGCAGGGCAAACTCGATAAAAGCATTTCACTTCATGGTTAAATGGCAGCTTCACACAAGTAGCAAGGTTCCATTTGCTGAACCTTACATATAAATCATTTAAGGGAGGGAAAACAAAGCCAAAGCATCCAGCTTTGCGATAAGAGCTGGATGAATACGCAATTATAAAACACAATAAATGAGAACCAGACATCTGATTGCCACAAAGCTGGATAATTAGTATAGGCATAAGGAGAAGTAGTAGTAAATTAAGAAAAGGCCTGTATGTTGTTACTGAAGTCTAGGAACCTCCTTTCATTCAGAAGGTTTTAATTACTGCCTCTTGATTTTTTAATAGATTTTACAGACACTATCCACGTGACATTTTACTAGGATTTTTGTATCTGTGAAAAAGTCTTGACAGAAAAGTGTTGTTTTGCCATTACAAACATTATCTGCTGCCTCGCTTATTCCACGCAGATATTTTTAGGACATATACAGAGCCAGAGGAGGGACAGCAGTTTTTAATTTAACTCTGCTCAGTGTCCCCAGTTCAGCGATAAATGACAGACAGGCCTGAAGCTGAATGTTTAGTTGACATGTGAAGAGTTGGTCAGTCTTAATAGAAGATGCTGGTAATGACTGTGATAGCTAATACTTCTGCAGATTGGGGCTGGAGGGTCCTTCTGCAAGATTAACCCAAGGCTACAAGCATGTTATTAATCAAAAGGGTAATATGTAATTTTTTAAAGTGAATTTGCACTGAACTGTTTCATGGACTCTTGCCGACACAATCTTGCAATCCTGTAATGTTTTAACAGGCGTGCTTTTGGATATGAAAAGTGACTTTTATGCCAGTATAGACACAACCAGGATCCCAGCAGAAGGATTCCATCAAAATGGCTGTCGTCTGCTGCTGCCCACAAGGGCCTTCAGCTCCTGGCCAAACAGTGTTTTGAGAAAAGTACTCCAAGCCATCCAGCTGCGTGCAGTAACACCTATTATAAAGGACCTCGTTAATGTTAACGAGAGCAAGGCAAGTGAAAAGCACAAAAGTAATTAAATTCATAGATTGATTTCTGTCTGTAGTTCACTATTACATCTTTGAGAGAGTTGACATGGTGCCCCTCAACACCTCTGCCCTTCTCAGGCACTGTGGACATCAGCCCCAGGCAGGCCTGTCCCTCCACAGCGGGGACAAGCATATCCGACTGTGACTGTTTCGGGGCTCACATGTTCGGACTACACCTCTCTGTCAGACTCCTTCTGCAGTTTTGTTGTAGGGGTGGCCTTTCTAATCCAGTCACACAGGGAAAACTCTCACCCAAGTTGTGCCTTGATCACCACAACTTCCTTTTCCCTCGACAAAACGTATCTGGCTGCAGAGACGCCCTACCGGAGCACTCTGCCAAGACCCACTGCCCAGCTCTCCATCAGACTCATCACACCCTACTGACCACCTCTTCCCCGGCACCAGGTCAGTGCCTGCCTCTGGTCCCACCACGACGTCCACCTCCAGCACTCACTCCTTCGGCTCTCAGACAGCTGCATTTGTGCTTAGGTGCAGCCTTTGCGTTCAGCAAAGCTTCCCGACGTCACCCTGCTCTCCCCCATGCTAGCAATCCCCCTTCCCACCAGACCCAGAGGAAGAGCACAGCAGTCAGAGACTGCTCCCCTGCTACGGCTCTTGCTTGCAATGCGCTCTTGTATTACCACTCTTTTCTTCAGCTTTTTTTTACCTACTTCTGCTCACCTATAGTCTTGTCTCGTAAGCTCTCTGGAGGCAGGGAACATTGTTTTGTCCCACAGCTGCGCAGCACCGGCCTCGTGGGTATGTGACTGAGATTCCTAAGCCCAACGTTAATATAGACAATGATTCAGTCCATGAACCAGAGCAAGACACCAGACCAGGTGTACAAACACACACAGTGCCAACACATCCTCTTGCAAAAGACGTTCAGAAAACTTATCACAGGTTTCCTATCCATTTGTTTTGCCAGTATTTCAAACATTTGCAGTGCTCATGGACTTTTGTACCGCCCTTGCTGAAACTGAGCTGTGCCTGGGGGTGCAGATGGTACGCAAGCAAAAAGATAAATGACATCCAATTTTTCTTTCAGCCAGAGGAGTAAGCATTTTTGCTCATCTTTTCAATGCAACTTTTTTTTTTAATTAAAAATGAGGGTTCCAGGAATATGCACTTTTATTCCAAGGTCAAGCCTTTTCTATTGAATACAACTCTGGCACTTCAGTTGAAGGTCTTCACAGTAAAAGCAAGGTTAATAGATTGCCTTTCTTTTACCAAGTTGTCATCATGCTGTATTATGAAATGCCACTAAATTGTCTGGCACTCCTTTTTTATTTAAAAAAATTATTTTTTTTTCTCAACACTGTACAACAATGAGAATCTAACCCTTAGAAAAACAGCACAGTTCTCTTCTGAAATGGTCACTAGCTTTACGTTTTAAAAGCCCAATTTCTCTTGCAGTGTTACAATCCTACCAAATTAAAGATTACAAACTGCAATTTTATTTCTCTGATTCTGCCAGAATGTCATAAACTAAAAAACATGTCTGCACAGTGTGAAAGAGCAAGCTATTCAAGCACCAGTTTTGATCCTCTACGCCCAGATGACTTGTGCTACACCTCACAAGTAAATAAGTACATGGACAGAAAAGGAAAGAATCCGTGGATAAAAATGACAGAATGTCTAAAAAATTTTTTGCCAATGATTCAGTTTTCGTTTCTTTGCAACGTGTATAATTAACAGCAGCCTCCAACAAGTAAGTAAACTTGAAAGAAAATTTATGACCGACAACAGAAATGTCTTTTTGCTGAAGTGTACCTCAGTTTTGGAGAATCAACATATTCTGCTTTATTTTGCTAGTTAATTTTCTTTTTAAGTAGATAGAATGGACTTACATGAACTCAAGCTCCAAATTACACATAGTGAAAATCAGTTATGAAAGAACACAATTATTTTTTTCAGTGCGATCCTTTGTCAACTGCTAATAGCCACAGACGAATGCAAATCTAAAACGTTATTCATCATACTATTTGTTTTTCCATACAAGTTAACACCTATTACTTGTACTGTAAAATTATATATTTTTTTAATCTCTGTTTTACATCAGTTATATCCATTAAAATAGAAATCAAGTTTCTAACTTTCACCTATTGGCAAATCTGAGCATCTGAACTCACTAGCAAAATCTCATTCCTCTGCTTGACCTTCCCAACAATAAATTTAACTACAAAATTTGAGAATAAATATTCTTCCTTCCCATTCTATTGCCACACAAACCAATTTAATTAACTGCTCTATAAAAAAACTGAGTATGCAATCTTATGTCTCCACCAACATCTAATTTGGCTTTTGTAAAGGAAAATACGTGTAATATTCACTTTTAAGACTGCAAAACAATTTCTTTTCTCCAGCAAATGAGCAGACACACAGATCGCAATGTCTCAGCATGGTTTCTGTGTACTACATGTGCATTATGTCCATGTGAAGCTCACAAGTGTGCCACACGGACAATACTGCACCTGCCTTTCTGTGAAAATCATCATGGCCTGCTAACCTTTTCCACAAAACAAATTTCTGGGTGGTACACCCTAGAAAGCAATCTTGCTTTATTCTTCCATCTTGTGCCCAACATGACCTCTTAACCAAACAGACCGCTCAAAAAAAAAAAAAAAAAAAAAAAAAAAGAAAAAAAAAAAAAAAAACAAGCACTGAAAAGCAGGCATTGCTGGGTACAACAAACCATAGGATCAGATGCGAAAATCACACAGCTGCAAGCATTCTTTTGGGAACCCAGCACTGGGATTTATCTCAATCGCTTAATGTAATTACAAAAGTCAGTCATGTAGTAGTAATGTAATTTGCACATTTTTACAGCTGAAGTGAAGTTGAATCTTTATGAGAGGCCGAGTGAAAAGCAGGGATCCTGCTGCCACACTATTCCACCACATTAGTACCAAATGACAAGCATTTTGCTTTTGTTTATTTTCCAAGATGCATTAATTAGGAAATCTATATAACCCTCTCTTACATGTTTAAGCTGATCGTTTTATCTTTAAATGACTCCTGCACTTTTGAGAACAAAATAAAAAAAAACTAGCAGTCCTCATCTGTTACTTACATCCATGTTCATACTGCATTTCTGCAGAAATTTCTACACAATGCTATTTGAATTTTAATGACCCACCATGCCAACCATTGCATCGTTACAACAGAAAGAAATCCAGACGTAAGATGAATTGTTGTTACAGTGCCACATTCTGATACAAAAGTTAAGTGTCTTCACTTTGGATGCTTTTTAGGAAGAAACAGAAAAGCAATGGAAAAAAAGCACAAGACTGATTTTTAAGTGGGAAGTATTAATTATTAATTGTCACTGCTACACTAGCTGTTTCTCACAAGTTATGTTTCATTTAATTAAAATTAGTTTATTTTTATTATGGGTGAACATACAAAACGAATTAAAAAAATGTAAGCCAACTCAAAGAGTTTAAAGGATGACAGTTACACTGAAAATATCACTGTAACATGAAATAAAATGCTACACTTAAAAAAAAAGAAGATAACTTTTCAATAGCAGAGTTAATTTTCACTGTTACACTTTGTGCCCTTTGTTTTCTGGACAACAGCATGAATTACAGTTTGATTTCAGATTTTACTTTTTAAAAAATCCTTAAAGGCAGTCTAACTTAAAAAAAAAAAAAAAAGTTACGTAAGTTACATTTCTTTAGGGGAAGTACCAAGTGTGTCAGCCCAAGTATTTGACATAAAACAGAAAAGGCACTGCTGTTACATTTATCAAAGTGAAACAAGAATGCCAATCCTGCTTGGGAATTCCCTTTCACGCACACCACTTATTTATCAATACACGGCTGTTTCCCAGCCTCTTCCAGCAAGCGGCCTGGCCCAAAGCAACAGGCCATGCCAGGCAAACAGCTTTTTCCTCTTCTCCTTGCCACTTAAGAAAACCCAACAAATCATTTTTGGGCCAGCGTTCCCAGAGCTCTCAAGAACGGGATCCAAACTGCTCAGCACAGCCGTACTCTCTGCCACGTGGAGAGAGTCCAAACATTACTGGAAGCACACACACACACTTGCTTTTTGTGTGAAAACAGTCTTGCACATGAGCCTTAGCCCCTTCCCAGCGAGGAGCAGGAGACACGACAGCCCTGCAGGAGCAACCCCCGCGCGCTGAGAGCTCTTGCTGCCGAGGCAGCCACCCGGCAAGGCTCGCGCATGACTTCCTTAGCTTTGAAGGACGCCAGCGTGTCTACTCGCTCACTCAAAACCGGGCACGTGCATGAATTTGAAGGATGAAGCGTAACCGTGCAGGCCGGTAACACACGGCCCACGCCCAAGACACTGGGAAATCGGTCCATCACCAATTTGAAACTGCCCTGCACCTCCCACCGCCTTGCAGGAGGACCCTCGTGCTGCCCACAACACACCGCTCGCCTGACATCACCGCTGGTACCCAACTCTACCTTTTACATCACTGTCATGAACCCCCTTTTCCAAGGCACCAACGCAAGCAGGGCCAACTCACTGCACTGCTACCACAAAACGCACAACCACAAACTGAAGCTGGATGATAGCTAGTTTTTCATTTCAACGCCTGGTTTCGGAAGCTGAAGGGAAAACTGGTTTAACTAAAATAGGAAAAAAAAAAAAAAAAAAAAAAAAAAAAAAAAAAAAAAAACAGGGAAAAAATGTTTATGCCCTAAACAAAAACAATACAATTTTGTTTCCAGTTATAGTTATAGAAGAGAGTTTCCAGTTGCATCAGGCAAATACTTAAATGAAATATACGCGTTTTCAAGAGTATCAAAATGAAACACAAATATATATACAGCAGAAATATATTCTGCCCTGCTCTGCTATAAACACCTGATTTTTAAGAAATCCTGGGCCTAATTTAAGCTTACTTTTCCTGAGTTAGTTTGGAATTTTGGTTGCTTAATTTAAGACATTTCACTGAAAACTTCTAAGCACCACACACTGAAAACTTTAGATATTTCAAGATTCATAAATTAAGAATCTAAACCCCGAAGCACACAGAGTCGTATCACTCTGAAAGTCTTATCCAGCAGTACAAAACCAGAATGAAATTGTTTCCATTAAATTAAGTGAAACAAACACTAGAGCATTTTCATCTGCAAGCGAGCTGCAACACCCATTTACAGGTAAACTTGAAACTGAAGCTGTGAGCAAAAGTGAAATCACATACTGTGTTTTCATTGCTCCAAGCGAAAAGATGCAAAAAGTAGCAATTTATCAATTTATTACAATTCAATCATTTAACATACAATTTGTGACTAGATCAAACATAAAATATGTATTTCTGAGTGGCCCTTCATTTTTTTTCCCCTTCAAAAAATATGTAACATATTTTAGAGGAATAGAGGAATAACATATAATAGAGGAATACCTAGCCTAATTCAGTAAGGCAATTCTTTTCCATTTTTACTTCTAACCAGTTGATTATCTCTGCTATAAACGGAAACCAATTCTTTTAAAAGTTTACTTAAGCTGTTTTTTGTGAAGAAAATCTGGAATCCGATGCACACTCTAAGTCACAAGCCAGAAATGCTGCCAAGTATGTTACAGTAGGGATGAATAACATCAACATTATCAGGAGTAGACAGTTGAGGGCCACACATACAAAGTTCTATCTACTATTACATATATTGAGAAGATATAGTAGGCTCCTAATATAAGAAAATAATTTAATACTATTTTCTATTAATAGAAATGAGCGTTCTATCAATTAAAACCCAATAACATAAATTAACAGAAAGCATTACATCCAACAACAGAGCACTAGAAAATCCACTTAAACAAATCTAATTAACTGTGGAAAACAAATTTAAATCAGAAAAATTTAAGAAGTGACACATCCACACTAGGAAAATTAAATTCATTTATGCTTCTATGTAGTTTTTGTGCATTAATTTATATGGCATCTTATTTAAGGTAACATCTTCTCTACAATAAACTTTGTTCATTAAAGACAAAATTTGGAAAAACTGTCCTACGATGCCCAAAATATTTTTAAAATGTAATCATACAGTAGAAAAAAAAATGAAATTATGTTTCGACAGGCATCACTTGCCCAAGCAATTGCGCAATTACAAACTGTATTATACTCGCGTCATACATAATTTTTCAATTGTATGTTTAACATGACTCAAAATCTGAAATGCTCATTTTTAGAGACAATACATTACAGATGTCTCCAGATAAAACTATTTGTGTAAACTTACTTGGTTCAGCCCTGGAACCATGTTTCTGAAGAAAGTCAACTATCTGAGCCAAAACCTTTTTGTTGCAATGTGTTGACAGCTCTTCATCACATTCATAACACCTAAACAAGAGAAGGAACGAACCGCAATTCAGGGTATCTGGATGCACCTCCCACCTCTAACAAGCTTCTCTAACAACCTTACGCCAATTACTTAAGCTCTAGGTTACAATTTTTCATACTAAAAAGAGGAATAAAATTGAATTCTCTCATCCTATATACGCTCTTCTATAGATCAGCCCCAATTCACTGTGATACTTACAGATTTAAATAATCTCAGTTTATAGTCCTGCAAATAATCATACAGAAACAAGCAGGAAGGACAAACTCCTGTAACCAGCAACTCTCTACGGAACACAATGGACTCAAACTTCTATCTTAGTATTGATTTGTGACCCCTTTGAGGGTCCTAAGGACAAACTAATTTTCCCTCCAGAAAGCCCGCCTTTCCTCTATATAAAGTATTCATTTTATCTGTCAAAATCATTCTTTATCATGAGAAGACACTGCTTTAAGTTATGAGTAGTCCTTACACACGAGCACACACGAACACCTGCATACTCACTCTTACCATATGATCCACGTGCTGAGGTTGATAACAATGCAATGAGGTTCTGCGCGTGCTGTTTGGAAGTGTTTCAGAGAATGCTGGCCTTCTGAGTTCTTACTACATCCCTAAAAACAGAACCATCAACACAGTAAGGGGAAAAAAGGGAAGTAGGAACAGACTATATTATTAGTAAATAAACTGCAAAAACTTTACTTCTCAAAATTAGACAGAAAGCTATAGTACCCTAAATACTCATTTAGCATTCTCAAGGATTGAGAGGGTTTAATATTCTTTATAATCCATTATTATAAAGATATCAGTTAACTTTTTTTTTTAAATGAACACATTTTCTTTTTACTAATAAAGGAAAATCAATGACAACACAAAACCAAAATCTCATCTTTTCTACTTGGAAAAAACAGTTAAAAGTATAGAAAATTACTAAGTTTCTTTTAACGTAATAGAAATAATTCCTACTTTTTGAATAAGTATTGAATAAGTACCAATAGACAGCAAATTATGCCATTCACAAAAGTAAGAATTCTCTAAAAAAATGTGAATTAAATGACTGTGTAGCATATCTAGTCCACAGAATATCAAGGGAAGGACAGCATAGGTAACCCTCACTGCTCAAGAATGCCAAATGAATTCCAGACAGCAAATACAAAAGGCACATAAATTGGTTTTGTACTAAAAAGCTACTCAGAACACACCATTTATATACAGCAGCTTCGAGAGAAAGCATTTGCAATTTTTCAAGTATCTACAGAGTGGGACTTAGAAGATCCAGGACTGGTCTCTGAATGAGTCATGAGTTTTGGAGGCTATTAACAGCATAAACATGAAAAAGTACACAGATATAACTCCTTTTAAAAGCCCACCTTAACTACAAATTTTCAGAGACAAGCTATATGAGTCCTTCTGAGATCCAGTTAACTATCTTCTGAAGCCTGCTAATACCATGTTCCTTTGCAAAATTAAATCTGTTCAGATAATACTGGTAGGAGCTGGCTTCTGTCCTTACTATAGCAAGACCTACCAAAAGTCTAAGAAAATTGTGAAATGCTTTGTTCAGGCAACTATTAGCTGAACTAAGCATGACACTGCCTGTGAACTGAATTTTTCTGTATCAGGCTTTACTTCACTCACAGGACAGAAACCTGTGCAAGGCCTTGGGGTCAGTACCTGCCATTTTAAACGCTGAGGCCACGATTTGACATTATAACTGATCCAATCTAATGGCTGTCACAAAAAGCAGCATTCTCACTCCTGCACAGTCCTTTCCCCCTGGTTTCAATCACATCTAGCAACTGAGTGCCCACAGTATGAGTTGATTCAGCAATATACATATCCATTTTTTCATTCATTTGTATTTGCGGGATCTTCTGCCAGATGAGCCAGCTGAACGGATGCATTTTGCAACCACACAGCTCCTGAAGCCAATTCTCCGTAAGTGGCAAGAGCATGCAGATGAAGAACAGAGAAAAGGCAGGAGCGTCACTTACTACTTGTGATGCTGAACCTCACCGTAACACATAAGGCTAACCCAAAACACTGTCAAAAACCAGTCAACAAGGACATAAGGCCACGTCCCACTCTGCTGAAGAAGCTGAAGCATGGACTCTCAAAACTAAGCACTTATGTCACACTGCTTCACTGAAGGTAATGAGATGCCAAACAGACAAGGATCTATACAGGTCATATCCTTTAGAAAATCAGGGCCTATCCACCTCCGTAGATTTCCAACGTATGCTTACCTGAGAGCCACATTTGAGACACAGCCATATGTCCGAAGGTGCCACGGGCTCACCATCACTCATCCGCCTCTCCTTCAGACATTCTGCACATATTGACCAAACGCTCTGAGCTACCGCTCTCTTCACATGATGCACATCCACTGCTTGGCTCACGTGCTGGCAGGTTAAGCCTGGAGAAAATGACACATACTCACTTTCATCCATTAAAAATAATAGCTGTGAAAGGGAGCATGTGCACACTAAAGGAGCAGAGTCTTCAACGAATTCAGCATTAGGAAAAAAAATGTCAAAGAACTAAAATAGGAAAAATCAGCCAGCTGCTCCCCATATACTGAATTTTATGATGGATCTATTTCAGTCTTTCTACAATGAAAATCCTTTTCAAGTCAATAAACACCACCTCTTAAAAACAGATAAACTATTTTGTACAAAAGTACAAGGACTACTTTTGCACAAAATTAATTTCCCTGGTTCTTTTTGGGGTGGTGGGGGAGGATGTCAACAGCAAATACTACATAAATCTATTTTTGCATATAACAACACAGGCAGTTGACCTCCTTTCCCATCCATAAAGACAGATTTCCAAATACCCATGCATCCTTAATACAACTGCCCATTCTGAACATGAATATCCACCACCGTTCTTCTCTGTCATATTTTTTGTACAAATTCCACTATGATATCACAGAATAACCTAGGTTTGAAGAGACCTCTGAAGGCCATCTTGTCCAAACCCTCATTCAAAGCAGGGTCAAACACAAATTTAGATCTGGTTGCTGATGGCTTTGTTCAGCTGAGTGTTGAATATCTTCAAGGACAGAGGTTTCACCACCTCACTAGAAAATCAGCTTTCTGTTTGACCATCCTCATGGTGAAAATAAAATAAATTTCCTCATACCTAACCAAATTTTCCTTGCCCTAACTTTTGTCTGTTGCCTTTAGTCCTTTCATTGTGGACCTCCTAGAAGAGTCTGGCTCTGCCTTCTCTATAACCGCCTATCAGGCAGTCAAAGAAAAAAACTATACTTCCACTCCTTTGGCTAAACAAATCCATTCCCTTCAGCTCCTCTTCACGCATCATGTTCTCCTTCTCCTTAACCGTGTGGAGGGGGTGACCCACTGCTGGACTCACTCTGACAAGTCAACATCTGTCTTGTAACAGGGAGCCCACAACTGGACACAGTACTCCAGATGAAGTCTCACAAGTGTTGAAAAGATGGGAAGAATCACGTACCTCGACCTGCACTCTAGTTAATACAGTCCAGCACACAGTAGGCACAAGCCACACCGCTTGCTTTCATTCAGTGTGTGCACTAGGACCGCCAGGACCTTTTCTGCAAAGCTGCTTTCAAGCCATTGATTCCCTGTAACTGCATACCGCTGCAATACCGCTGATTTGTGGTTTTCATCAGTCAACACGAAAGTTATTAGCCCTCAACCTCAGGGCCAAACATCACCTTATGTATTTACCTGAAATATCATCTGAGGAGTCTTCATCCTGCAGCCTGTTAGGCCTTTTGCTTCTCTTTGGTTTCTCGGAGTTGGCTCTTGATGGATCTTTCACCCGCATCTGTTACTTACTGGGAAAGAGAAACAGGGGTTGCTTTATTGTCTAAACGCTTCATCAAATGTAGTGAGTTTGAACTCTAAAAGCATGAGATCAAATCACACATTCAAACCTCACGAACAGTTTTAGGCTTTGACTGATGTCAGCTATTGTGTAACCAGGAGTATGAACATGTCAGGAATGAACTCTTAGCAATGCCGCAAGATCGGTTAGTTACATTACATGACATTATAAATTGTATCTGTAGCTACAGGGGACACACACTTCCAGGCAGCGATTTTAAATATTCGAGACACCAAGATTTTCTTTACTTTTGTTATTGTAAACTACTACAGAGCTCGAGCCGTACCTTACCAGAAAAACTTCATTAAAATAAAAGCTTCTCTTCCTTAACATATCTCCCTTAGGAAAGGTTTCTGTCACCATTTACCCTTGCACATTCCCTAAAAGCTTTTGAGCCATTTCAAGCACTTTAATGAAATAAAAAAGTATTCCAAATCTCATGAAAGTGTTCTCTCCTATGAGTGAGGACAGACTGGAGTGCGAGCTGATCCCTCTGTTAAACATCAGAGAATCCATATGGATGAAGTCTCTCATACGAAATTTGGGTCATTAACCAAGGAGTCCTACGAGGAACAGAATTAAAGAGTAAATATTTGCCACGAAACTTTTTAAAAAAATCCTCAGAGATTTCAGCACACCAGTCATTTAATCAAAATCCAAATGTGAATTCACTGAAGGAATGTAGCTGTGCATCACACAAACAGCTTCTGAGGCTTAGTTTACAGGTTGCCTTTTAACGATGTGCTTCATAAAAACAAATCTATGTTTTCATATACAAAGCTTATGAATGTAAGATAGTCAAATATTCATACATTGCAAACCTCTGAGCCATTCTGTTTAGAAAAAAAATGACGTCTTGTTGTGTACCACATACAAGTTAATGTCACCTGAGCCACCAGTACCAAATATTTTCAACTGTGCTACCTTATTTATGTATAGGAAATCTCTGAAATGCCCTACATTTGGGAACAGCAAAAGATATATTCTTGCTACAAATCAAATAGATAAGTTTGCCAAAGTTTAAAAAGTTTGTCTACCTAAGTTTTTTAATCTTCTCTGTATATCCATTCAAACCTTTGTACTACTGAAGCTCTGAGAGACACAGGAACTGACCTGTATATTGAACTCGGTATTCCCTCTCCTTTCTTAGCCATTAAGCCAATCAGCAGAACGGTCATCAATATCGATACTAGAGCACCACCACCACTGGTATCTGAATGGCCCTCACTGAAGTGAAGCAGGCAATCCATACCTCAGAGCTCCTCTTCCAGGTTCCTATAGATCTGGACGGATGTCTCTGCATCTGCCACGCGAACTGTTAGTGCTGGAGGTTTTCTGCATGAACGTATCAATTAGAGATTTACTTTGGACAAGTCAAATTTCTGTAGAGTATGAAAGAAACCTTTACTCTCTGCTTCCTTGCATCAACGGCTTCACATCTCCTCAACCTTTCAAAATGCACTTTGTTTTTTTCAGAATGCTACATTTACATAGCAATCAGTTGATACTATATTAAATACCATGATGCTCTTAAATTATAGATTTCAAAATTTCCTGTACTTAAGGGTATAAAGCTTCAAATGCTTAGACATGCAAGTGAACAATGCCACTGAATTAATCTTTGCTGATTTCCTAGGTTCGCAATTCATGTTCACACAGTAAGAAAGACCTGAATGTCCCAGCTCTTGACTATTTATATACAACAAATTTTAGCTTGCCTAACGTACATCAACAGCCACACACCACAGCATCCCTAGAAGAGGAAAAGGTGCTTCAGACCCAAACAACTTCAACTGTCTATTTCTGCCTTGGCATCTTATCATATATATCAAAGGTTCATGTGAAACTACCCATCACCACTTGTCGCACTGCCAAGATTCACAAGATTCATTGAGACATTCATGAAACAGTAAGGCCAATACAGCTACTGTTAGAAAACCCATGATTTTACACTAAATTATGTAAAGACTCAATAGCAAAGACAGCAAAAATGTCCTCCCTAAAGGAACATAGTTGCATTTACGTTATTCAACATTGACATAAACAATCTAGAAGTTCATCTCAGCATAACAATTTTTATCTCTTTGGACAGATTATGTAAGACTGTCCAAACCACAGATTTCACCCAAATGAAAGTCATGTTTGTATCAGTACATTTTGAGAGCTTGGGTAACTTCATGAAAGAACAATTATGGGCCCAACCAGCTGAAATGCAAGCAAGTCTTTACCACCTGTGAAATCCTGTGGCCCATAGGCCAGGTGATACCATCCCGATCGGGGCACACAGAGCCCACCGTTCGACACACTCTCTAGGGTCCTTCAGGACACGTGGGAAAGACAGAGTGTCAGCTGGTACCTGCAATGACTGAAAATGTGGCATTTCTAGCCCAACATAATCAACATGGCATTAGAAATGAACGCTGACTTAAGAAGCCAGCGTTCACACTGCAGGTTTGGGAACCCACCAAGCAACTCGGAGACTTTTCAGTCTTCTTTCAGTAACAGCAGGCAGAACAAAAGATAACAGGGACCATTAGATTAATCAGTTTTCATGAACACACATATATAGACAGGCATCCATCAGACAATGTTTACTGACCTGTGAGCTCTTGGAAAAGCCACAGCATATCAAGGACCTAGCCAGCCGGGGTTTGTGCCTCATTTTGAAAAGCATCTAAGTGGGGTAAAAGGGTAAGAGCAACAAACTGCTCAACAAGCATCTACGATGCAAGCAGCACAGTATATACGCAGTACTCTCTGCCCTTTTCCAGTATATTTGGGGACAGAAAACATTACAAGTAAAAAATTTCCTTTAACAATTAAAAACATGATCAACATTTCAAAATCAAAATGTTTACGCCAGGAATTTGATTATTACATTTAATTAAGATAAACGAGGAAGAAACCTAAGGTGCTTCAGAAATTACTTCTCAAAAGTATTTCAGTTTACGGGAAATAAAAGATTGAGATTTTATTGGAATGAAAACGCTGAACAAACATAGACCCAAAAAAGCATAAAATACAGCTAAGAAAAAAGCAAGAGAGAAATTCTCTAGGTTTCACTTGACCATAGGCACAAGGCATTCAGGACAAGCAGGCAGAGGAAAAATGAACGATTTGCACAAATGAACTTGATACAATGAAGATTAAAAACCTGGGCAATATTCCTATGATTTGCCTCTTTCCAACCCATTCTCCTATTTTTTGAATACGTTCAATAGTAATTTGTGGCTACAGCCATCAACTGTGGAGTGTCCTAAAGGAGACAGACTCTCCCTCTTTCCTTATGCAGAAAGAAGTCCCCATGAATCCTTGCTTGGAAGCTTCTTTTTGTGATGGAAAACCAAATATGGTAAGTTTTTCATTTTGTATAGACAAAATCAAGCCACAGTGCAAATGATATTTGACTAATGAATCTGACAAATAAAAAAACCCTGATTTTTGTGGTAGAAAAAGCTGAGTTCAGAGGGTATGTTAGCTCCACCCTGATCTCTATTTGGCACACAGTAAATAACTTAAATAGAAATTATGCAGTTTCATGGGGAAAAAACTAAAAATAGAAAGAGCTAAATCTCTTCCTTTTAAGCAATCATTTCATACAAAACTAAGAACTAGTCCTTGCCAAACGTGCTCAGATTCTTTGAGCTCAGCATACAAGAGTTTGAAATGTAATCATCATCACTTGCTATTCTCAGTTTACTTTTTACTTCTTAAAAGACTAATGGCAGTCTGCCTACAAAAAGCTGATTAAGATCAAAAGCTCCTCACTACAACTGCTCGTTTCCACCTGCCTAGAAAGAACAAACCACTTCAAAAGCAGTAGAATGATCTGCCTACCTAATTTTAAAAGCTTCAAATTTGACAAAGTGCCAAAGATCTACGTGTTAGATTTGTTAAGTTAAATCTAAGGTATGCCTAGACTATTTTCAATGTAAGGTATGCCTGAAGTAGTCTATATTTAACAGCATTAATATTTCTATATTTAGAAATGCACCCTCTTCATAAAGTATCTATTTAGAAACTAAAAAGAGCTGGATGTAGTTCCTAAAGTAAATAACTGATTTTTTTTTAAGTTTTATATTTTATTGGAACTCAGTAGAGCTAGGACCAATACAAGATAAAAGGCTAGTGTGAACTAGAATTGACTTTTCTTTTGGGGAAAAAAAAAACAACAAAAAAAACCCAAAAACCAAAACCAAACAGGTCATTCCTCTTCACAGCATCTTTATGCAAGAGAGGTGGAGAAGCAAACTATGTCTTCACTGTCTAGACTCCACAAAACCTATTCCCATCTTATCATCTTGCACTCCATACTTAGAGGTTGAGTCCCTCCTCCTACAATGTCTACAGCTCGCTTGCTAAATTTTGAAATGTGCCACCTTAGTGAGTTTTCCTATGCTGTACCTTTACTATGATGCTTACAAGAAACCTGAACCAGATCATCAGTATGTTAAGAGGAATAACCTGCCATGCTGACTACTAACTACCACATCACTGCTTCCATTCCATCTTCCGAGATCCACTTTCCCCTCCTCTTATAATTCAGGTGCGAGCTCTTTCAGGCAAGTGCCACATTTTTGTTCTTACCTGCATAATACCTATCACAACATTTTTCCTGATTCATGAATAACAGGAGGATTACACTTGCATTACTAGAATGCAAACAACAAGATATAAACTGTGTAATAACCATTAGCTTATCTAAGCATACTTACCCTATGACATATAGCCAAATGAGTCTACAGATGGTCTCCAGGTACTATTTTGGATACAGGTAAAACTCTCCCAGTAGGACTGGCCATTAACTGTGAAACCAGTATTGTTAATTATTCCATCAGTGAACATCTCAATTCAAAGTAGCTGGGGCAAATACATTTACCTCAGTCCCTCAATTCATCTGAGGTACCCCAAGTACCAACCATCTCACCACTCGTAGTTGAAGTCTCCAATTAAAATGATATGATTTTATGCTGCTAATGGGAAAAAAACCTGCATCACACCGAAAAGGCATAGCACACTGAATACAGCATTTCAAAAATTAGCATTTTAAGGTAACTTAACAGAACTGTCCAGCTGTCAACAGCAGCCTACCACCAAAGCAAGGGGCTGAGGAACAGCACAGATGTGCAGATTAAGTCCAAAGGCCAAGATGCTCCGTAGCACATCTGTGAAGGGTCTTTATGAGCTTCCACCTAACTGTCAGCGTACAGAACGAAGAGCTTTGTACGGGTCACTAATGCCAGACCCTCTGCGGAATTGCTACATGTTTTGATGTAAGCTGCAAGTTGATATATTTTGGACGTCTGTTCCAAGCATTACCTGTGGCATTTTGGCTTGCTCGCCGCTAGATCAAATGTCACCCAATCAGAGCAAGAACCGCATCCATCACAGTTAGCAACCGGGCAGTGTCACCCATCAGCGGGCCAGGAGGCTCAGCGCTCTGACAGCCACCGAAACCTTTGCGGCAAACAAGGCCCCGCTGCCTGCTAGAGCAGTAAAAGAACCAGAACTGCTGACTGGTAGTGGCAGCAACACTTCTTTCCCTGGAAAATGTCATCTGAAATTCTGAAAGTGTCATCTCCAAGATTTCCTAGCCCAAAGGCACATCACACATCCTACACCGTCACTGGAGCTCAAACGCCAATCCTGGCATTATATTACAATCCTAAAAGGCTGAGACGCTGATGTACTTTTTGCACAAGCAGTGAGACGGAACCTTCGGACCACTAGATATAACTTGCCAAGTGACAGTAAAAATCCCACAGCATTTCTCACTTTTATTAATCCTTTTTATCCAGCCGCCCATGCTAAACATGGTCTGTCAACATTCGTGTTTGCATCCTGCACGATCCCCCTCAGATTTCCTACTGAAACCCACTTGCCACAGAAAAATTACTTCTAAGGATGAACAGAAACCAGATGTGTCCAGAAACAAGAATGAAAAGACCCTGTAACTGGGTTTATGACTAAACTAAACTAAAGGATTGAGTGGGTAAAAGGAGTAGTATTTTGATGATGTATTTTTGCTACTATCTTATATCAAAGGTCTCATGGAAAATTTCAGGGATACCTGTCAATATCCAACCTCATAAAGCAACCTGCAACTTTTGCTTATGCTCTCTATCCCACCTTCAACGTATTTAAAAAAAATATGAACACATCAAGAGGGAAAAACATCTGGGTAGATGCCTTCATGGTCTAACATGGATTTTCCTACAAATTCATGCTTTAAAAAGCAAAACACGTAAGTACCATAAAAAGAGCCATGGCTTATAACTAATGATGTTGGCCCGCAAGTGGAAACTTTGCACGTGAAAAGGCAGTCAGCTCACAGAGCTTACAGACTATGCACTCGCGTGATATGGACACCGATGTAACAGTGCCATCACCACAGAAACTCTGAGGGCATAACAATTGAAACAGCTGGAGAGTAACCAGTGAACTCACAGTATCTTGGCAGGATAACTATGTGGACAAAAACTGGGAAAAAAGTGGTCCAATATGTCAACATGAGCAAAGGATGAACTTCAGAGAAATGCTGATTCTGTGAAGTCTAAAAAAAAAAAAAAAAAAAAAAAAAAGGAACTGTGGTTGCAGCACCGTGTGTGGCTGAAGCCCACACAAGATAATACGTTAAGCTGAGACTCACGCTGTACCCCTGCCTAAAGGGCTGAGTCGGAGCAGATGAAGGAAGACAACGGCTGCGCATAACTTCCCATCTGCTCTGGAAGGGTGTTGTGGGAGTTAGCTAATTAATGGGTGTAAAACAGGTAAAACCATAAAGGACTACGGAAAACTAGTCTGAGCTCTTTGAAAGTCCAAGTCTTGCCACCGAAAGCAAAAAATTTCATTCCATTTTCTTCCTCCACACAAACTGCCCCAGTTTGTTTTGATGACACGTCTAAAGTGGAACAACTTGTCCTTGATCTACGATTGATGCTCACAGCAGAACCTGTGAGACGCTAGCTGCATTTCTGTGAATTTCGCAGAAACAAAACTACAGAGCACCAGTTCTTCAATATCTCATTAAGAAATCTGACAAAATATTTACAACCATAGTAAACTGCAGAGCAATTTCACAAAGGCACATTCTGCTATCAATCTGGCACATGCTCATGCCACTACTATGCTTCCATTTAAAGAGCTAGAAAATGCGAGCGGAAAGAATCCTTTAAACACAACTCTGCTTTATATGCTTCTATGAAAGGATTATTTAATGGAATTGGGAAATACTTGTACCTAAAGATGACACGCAGCAAGAATGCAGTGCTACACCTGGAGTTATTGCCATCTGCTTCTATGTTCTTGACATCTTACTTTATTCTCCAGCATCTGTTTAATATGTCGTCATGCGTATCCTGTTTAACCGTGCGAGTGGCAACATATCTATAACAAGAGCAGGATGAAGTCCTAAAGTAAAGGACATCATCAGCAAAAGACCGAATGAAGTTCTAAAATATCCAGGAATCAGAGAATCAAAGCATCAACTCAAATACAACGTGCAGAGTTGCAGTTACGGGTCTGAAATACCACACCTCCGAATAATCGAGAGGACCGTCACCAGGCTGTCATCTAATCACCAGGCACACACTGGTCTGCGTTCGCTGAAAACTAAATTTCAGGTAGCGGAGCGCCAGCGCTGTGGCCACACGCGCCGCCTGCTAAAACACTTGGTGTGGGGAGCCCGCAGCCTGCCTTCGCGCAGCCACGCAGCAGTGGCAGCAGGCCGGCGGTGGCATCACCAGGCCAGCGTATGCCACGCTGTCAGAGCGGGGCAGAAATAATCGCGTCAGCCTCGTGACACAGAACCGCAAAACCATTTTATTAACGGCATTCGCTTGCTAACTTGCCTAATGCAAAGTGAACGGAGCTTATGTTTAAACCCGACCAAAGGCGATGCTACCAACTCTCTCTAACTTCATAGACCGAGAAACTTCCTGCAGGTCACGGAGGCGGCCTGGTGCTGCTGCTTCCACGCCACGGTAGGGTTAACCTACTTTAGACCGACAGCGGACGGTCGGCACCAGCAGCTCGTGGCCGGCTACCCAAAACGAGCCCACGCGAGCCGGACTCGGACACCCGTTCAGAACACCGCGGGAGA